TCAACGACACATATGTAATACATATTATGTATGTTTACCTGTGAGGTGACATAATCTTCATGAATATATTTGAGTGTAGAATGATAGTGCGGGTATTTATGATTTGACTTTTCAAAGCTCATGATTGATAATGGTGATTGCATCGATTGACGAAAACTTGTAAATGGCGCATGAACTGAATGCAAATGATGAGATATGATGCTGACTTAAATTCAATAACTATGATTGAATGTTAATTCAAACAACTTACAGTCTTTTTGTGGTACGGCTGCAAGAGCTGGATCTTGAAGATATGGATTTGGCAGAAGGAAAGTTTTATAGATTGGATGATATATTGTTGTTTGAACTGGAGCTTGTTGTAGTGTATCTTCAGTGATGCGAGGAATTGGATAAGTCGTTTCATAGTTGCCAACTGGTGATATAGTTTGAAAAATATCACCAGCATCACCCGTGAACCGATTATCCGAAGTTGCAAGCACTTTGAACACAGGTCGCAAATCATTATGCGAATATGGAAAAACCTTAAGTGAAATTAAAAATTGAATGAAAAAATCAAATAAATTAATGCTGCTGTGTTGTTTAAGTCTTACAAGACCAATTTTCATTTTTGAACTTCATAATTTCTGTGAAGATGGTATTATGTTTCTTTCAAACCTTGGATTCCCCTTATTTTCCATGTTGATTTTTGTTTTCAAATTATTTTCCAACACAACCCGTTTTGGTTGAATAAAAAGACTTACACTTGTGTTGTTGGCGGGTCTTCAAAGACCCACATGTTTCATGGCCACAACTCAAACTGTGTGTGAGGAATAATTTTCATGTCTTCAGCAAAATTTCAGCACTAACAATTGTGTTGAAAAAATATCCGTTTTTTATAGTGAAAAATCATGTTTTGTGAATCAAGTCCCAACTACAGCAATAAATGCGACGATTTTCACAATTTTCTCAAGAATGGTGGAAAATTTGGATTTTTCGTGTTAAGAAAATAATAGATCTTGCATCTTGGCCAGAGAAACAACTTTGCTAAACATTTCAAAATAAAATATCGCCGAAGAAAGACCGAATATGAGCCCAAAACTTATCTAAATTATGGAATTTGGCTCATCTGTAGTAGACAAATATGTAGAAATTCGCATGATATCGGTTTTTTCAACCTTTACAAGGAATGGTATACAAAAAAAAATTCCAGTGATTTGATTTTTTTTGGAAAAATCAAGAGTTATCGACCGAAAGGTAGACTTAAGCCTGTTTTTAATATATTTCAACCATGTTGAAGGATTTATGTCTTTCAAGACGCGATTCTATTGAATTGAACCCGTGAGCATAAAAACGAATTACCAGGGGGTTTGCAGATTGAAACACAAGCACACTAGCGCCGCAGTTTGCCCTACAATAACATATACGGCAAGCTACAGAACTATTCATTCAGTATATATCATGTAGCTCAACTGTCAATCTGTAATCCCCCTGCGAATAACAAAAAAAAATCGCCGATCAAAACGTAACATAGATTTGTCGGCGTAACATACCAGTGTACAATTTGTTCCGAATTGAACGAGTAACAAATAGGTGTTTCGCTTTGTTCGGCGACGTTTTTATAATTCGTTTTTATGGGCACGGGTTCAATTGTGATATTTAGCAAAGTTGTCCCTCTGACCAAGATCCATGATTTTCTCAACTCGGAAAACCTTAATTTTCCGCAATTCTTGGAATTTTTTTTTTGGAAAGTTGTTACAATAATATTGCTGTAATTTAGACTTGATTCACAAAACATGATTTTTCAATGATGAAGGAGCGAATATTTTCGAGTGCTATAATTATAAAAATTATTCTACACAGTACACAAGTGGAGCTAAAATTTTGCTGAAGACATGAAAGTGATTCCTAACACACGATTCGAGCAGTGGTCCATGAAATACCTGGATCTTTGATGACCCGCCAACAACACAAGTGTAAGTTTTTCCTAACAACATTCTAGTGTTGAATAAAAATTATTGAGTCAATTGGTTTGATCAGTACCTTTGGATTTCTTTGTTCCAACATAATTCCATCGGGCACAGCGATTCCTTCCTTCTGCAGTCGGTTCAGTAAAAGACGATCTGTTTCAAATGCTGACTCCGGAATTTTACCACCTGTGTGCGGCTGAACTTGTTCTCTATAGATTTGCCGCTTCTGTAACATGAGAACATATTGTTATAATTTGTTTTTATCATCATTACATTTAATTTTCACTTTTACCCTGATTCGTTTGCATAGTCCCAAATTCAGTTGAATCACGAATATCAGAAAAATGGTCGATATTTGCTGGTTGAATTTCATTTCGATTTTTTTCTTCAAAAATATTGTTTTTATGAAATACTATGTACTGTATTTTAATTTTTCAGCATGATTTTTCGAATGATCGAAATTTTCACAACTAACGCACGTACATTCCAAGCGACACTCGAAAAAGAAATATAGTTGCAAGATACATATACAATGCGTGCGGCTAAAATAGTTTTCCCGCTGGTTGCACTTGAACTGGGCAATTTCAATGGCAGTGTTGTTATTTGATATTATCCCAACAAACACATAATAATTCATTACAATGGCGAGCAATTAAAAGATTGTAAAACAAAGTCAAAGTGTAGTAGAAAACATAGACAAAATCGAAAGTCAAAACGTGCACTTGACATAATGTTAGCAAGCATAACGTATGAACATAGTAATTAAAACGTTCATAATAATCACGATTAAATAGTCGTGCTAAAACAACAACTCTCTATAGGACGAAGACTTTTTGATATGATTGTTTTAATAAAATGATTATTTGCGACAAAAATAAAGCGACCGATTTACTGGGTGTAATTGACTTTTGGTCAAATATATGCAATTTCATGTAAAATTTTAATTTTTATGGTTTTTCCTTTCGTTTATTTCAATTAGTTTTACTTTCTCTCTCAAACATTGATATTTAATATCGAATCTATCTTCGATCACAGCTACAATTGAAATAACTATATTTTTACAAATGAAAATTGGTTGGTTTTCGACTCAAACCCCTCTTTTTCTGTTTCTCTATCTCTCTCTCTCTCTCTCTCTCTCTCTCTCTCTCTCCCTCTCTCTCTCTCTAAATTGATGTTTGAACAGAAATATTGTTGGAAGCTGCTAAGTAGTCAAATCGAATATGGTCTTCATGTTGAATTTATGAAGGAACTATCGATATTTATCTTGGTGTGAAAATGTTTTTACTTTTCCGCACGACCATGTCGTGAGTAAAAGTATTGTAATCACTCCAAAACCTAGGTACCCCGAAAAACCATTTTTCTATCCATTTTCTACACCAAAAAGCACCTTAAAGTGGTTATTTTGCTATGTTAATGTGGGTGTGTCGTACCCTGTACGCTGTACGCTGTACGCTGTACGCTGTACGCTGTACGCTGTACGCAAAAATTTGTTAGCGCGATTGCTCAAATACCAGAATGGGAAATGAAATTCTGCAAGTACCAAACGTTTGTGCTTCGTTAGACTTGGAAACCATTAAATTTTCAGCCACCCCGGATGTACCCTAGGATACCTAGCCTATGAAAAACCTTCAAAAAATCGAACTTTTGTTCGGGAGGTACCCAAAATAGGCTCCCCAGGTGGATTTTATCACTCCCTATCGATTTATTTCATCAAATTAACAGGGGCCCAGGAACAACCTAGCACCCGCTAACCCACCTTTTTGGTATTAAATTGGTATGTTAGTTCGAAATTCCTTGAAAAATCGAACTTTTGTTCGGGGGGTACCCAAAATAGGCTCCCAGGTGGATTTTATCACTCTCACTCGATTTATTTCTTCAAAATAATAGGGGCCTAGGAACAACCTAGCACCTTCTAACCTACATTTTTCGTATCAAATCGGTATAATAATTCAAAATTTCTTGCATTTTTACTTTTCCGCACGCCCATGTCGTGTGTAAAAGTATTGTAATCACTCCAAAACCTAGGTACCCCGAAAAACCATTTTTCTATCCATTTTCAACACCAAAAAGCACGATATGGTGGTTATTTTGCTATGTTAATGTGGGTGTGTCGTACCCTGTACGCTGTACGCAAAAATTTGTTAGCACGATTGCTCAAACACCAGAATAGGAAATGAAATTCTGCAAGTACCAAACGTTTGTGCTTCGTTAGACTTGGAAACCATTAAATTTCCAGCCACCCCAGATGTAACCTAGGATACCTAGCCTATGAAAAACCTTCAAAGAATCGAACTTTTGTTCGGGAGGTACCCAAAATAGGCTACCCAGGTGGTTTTTATCACACCCAATCGATTTATTTCATCAAAATAATAGGGGCCCAGGAAAAACCGCTAATCTACCTTTTTCGTATCAAATCGGTATAATAATTCAAAATTTCTTGCATTTTTTTTCGTTCTTAATTTTGCAAAAAATCGCGCTTTTGTATGAGAGTTTCAAATCACTCCTTCGTTCATTCATGTTGTTCTATGGTTTCAAAGGGCTGCCTTATAAATACAATGTAAAAAAGACGCGTTATAATTTTGGTCAAGAAAAATGTGGTTATTTTAAATGGTATTTTTTTCAACTCGTCACATTTTGTTCCAATTTTTCCAAATCAATACTTTTTTGCATTCTCATTCAATAAAGAGATAGAAACATTAAATTTAAAACGAATTTTGGTTTAGTTTCTGAAAAACTGCTCAAAATCTTCATACACAAACAATTCATGAAACGAAAAATTACACAGCACATGTTCAATCAAAGAAAAAAATAAAATGTTCTTTGAATTGAACATTAGTCGATGTGCGATGCGATGCGATGTGATGTCAACCATATAAAAAGCGCACACAGTCACACATTCCATTGACAGCTTCGCCAGTTCGAAATTCGTGTGGGGAAATTCTTATGAATTTCCTAGGCAAAATCTGAATAAAAGCTGAACGCTATGAAAACGGTGCGGAAAAGTTCGTCTTACGGAGGTAAGACTATTTATTATTATTCATTGCGCATAAAATCAGGTACATGTGGCTGCCCCCCTAACTCACTAACTCACTGAAAATGATATTTTGTCAAATTTGAAAAAATTGTTCGGCGACTCCACCTCAGGCCATGATTCGTGGTGTACTGAGATTGGTTTCGGAAAATTTGGAGTTAGTGCTGGTAGCATGCAACATTTGAAGCCCTTTTGCACCTCTTGTTTCCGAGCACTAACTCACTAAAAATGAAATTTTGTCAAATTTGAAAAATTTGTATGGAGACTTCATCTTTAGCGGTAGATTCTGATGTACTGAGATTATTTTGGAGTTTGTGTTGACCTTGTCCAAAGTCTCAGAGTTTGTGCTATCACTGGATGTGAGCATTGACTTCATAAAGTTGAAAATTCGAAGAAAAAATGGAACATTTGTATGAAGGAATGTCAAGGGGGAAAGTAATAGATTTGTATAATTCAAATAATGTAATCTAGTACAAAAATAATCCCAAATAATCCTTCGGAATTCTCAATAATGCTCAATAATGCTATTCATAATATCAATAAATAACATCGAACTATGGTCAAGTAATTGATGCTTGCGTGCATTTGAATGCCTTGAAGATAAAGTGGGTCGATAGTAGATATGAATTGGTGAGACCTAGAAGAACATAAGTTTGTCAAACGTCGTAGCAATAATGAGAAGTATATTTTACTGCAACTAACAATGGTTAAAAGAATGTATGTTCATTTTTTGCGGGTCGTCCCGGTTTTTCACGGTTTCCGCGTAACTTATAAGAGATAACAAGGAAGGCCTCGAGCCCTATAAATTTTCTGAAGACGCCGAGTATCTATCTTTTATGAGTTCAGCGAAAAACACGAATTTTGTTGTACAATTGCGATTTTTTGCGTTTTTCGCTGAACTGATAAGAGATAACGACTTGGCGTCTTCAGCAAATTTATAGGGCTCGAGGCCTTCCGCAACTTTGCTTCAGACAATTCTCACTCATCTCCTATGAGTTTCGCAGAAAACGCGAAGGATGATAAAAAAACATGCCATGAGCGATGTTTTTGATTTGCGCCCAATTGGTAAGAGATAAGAGATAATTGTCTTCAGCAATGTTATAGAAGATCTTGTGTACTACAACGTTTGACAAACTTGTGTTCTTCTAGGTCTCACCAATTCATATCTACTATCGACCCACTTTGTTTTCAAGGCATTCAAATGCACGCAAGCATCAATTACTTGACCATAGTTCCCTATTATTTATTGATATTATGAATAGTATTATTGAGCATTATCGAGAATTCCGAAGGATTATTTGGGATTATTTTTGTACTAGATTGCATTGATTGAATTATACAAATCTAGTACTTTCCCCCTTGAGGAATGTTCTTATATATAAGAAGTATTGATGTATTTCATTTTGTTTCGAAAAATGTAAAATATTTCTGTGTCGTATGCATAGCTATAAAAAGTTAACCCCCCCGAAATCCGGAGAGGGAAAAAATATTATAGGAGAAAAAAAAATATTTCAAGCCTCAATTGCACAGCATATCACTATTGGAATCATTGTGTCGACATGAATCAACCAATCAACAAACCAAAACAAACACAAACTACACAATGAAATACCACGTTTGTATAAATATTGATTGCTATTGCTTCAAAGAGAAAAACTCAAAAAAACAATATTCTAATATTTTAGAAAATATAAAATTAAATGAAATTTTTGTGTTTTCACGTGTTTTCATCAACATGAATAACTGCGACAAATGTCACTTCATGTTGTCATTGAAACAATCGGAACGTGGAACGTCAACAAATGAACTGACATTTGTTCGTAATTCTTAAGTTACTCTTGTGTTGACAAAAGCACGCAAAAACACGAGAAAAATGTTTGATTTTACGTTTTAAAATAACAAGATTAAATTCTTGCATTGAAAAAAAAAATATTCGCGCTTTTTAATAAAAATAAACTCAAAATATTTCTTGAGAACAGAAAACCGCTCAATAAGCAATTGACACATGTATATATTTGTATACAAGCTTTTGAATTTGACGTACGTTGTGCTTGTAGTACTTGTTCTTGCACCAGTTGGCGTTGACGTAAGAAGGCATAGCGTCATTTGATTTTGATTAAATTTTATGTATAAAGTTTATATTTAACCTTTTTTTGTAAAAGTAGTTCGATATTCGCAAATCATTTACTTGTGCAGCTGAATATGAAAATACCGAACACATTCAATAAATTGCAATAATCTTGTAGAAAATTCGATGATATTCCTCTGTCCGCCCATTCAAATGTGACGATTTCTAGGGGATGATGATATTTTTACGAAAACTTATATATTAACTTTGATGCGGTTGAAATGAACATGAGACTTTCGTCGCTCAATACACAGATACGAAACAAAAATAAAGCAATCCATTAAAATGGAACATGGAAAAGAAATCCGTGAGAATTAAACATAGCATGTGCCGTTTTAAGTATTTCGCTTTGCGGTGTTCCGTTTCGATAGATTTTTTGTCTGCAGTGTCAGTATGAACGAATCCTCTCGCATTGTTTCATATGAATGGATCTGTATCACATTGTTCCGTTACTCGAATATTTTTCCGTGTGTTTCATTTCAATTGATTCTCGAGCTATTGATGATGTCACTCGCATTTATCACATGATGCAAATTAAGTGATAAGGAGCACGAATTTCGATGTGGCGATAACACCAATGGATTGGGCAAAAAAATACTGTATGAGAATCGAAAAAAACAATTTAACTTTTTTTTTCGATTTTTGCCTGTTTCCGATCGTCTACATGGGAAGTTTGTATGAAAACCTCGGAGCGCCGGTGTTTTACCCGTAATGTTATACACATCAACGAAGCAGTCTGCTTCACCGTAGAAAAGAAGTGCGCAGTAAGAAAACAAGAACGTACAGGTTTCGGCAACGCACAAAACCCCTGCATTAATGATCTCTCCAAATCTTTAGCAGATATTGGCTCTCAAAGCGTTTTCCAACTCTGGAAAAGAAAATTTCGCCTTCCCCTTGAAAATTAGATCAATCGAAAAACCCCCCCCTGAAATTCATGTCTGGATACGCCGCTGACGCCAGATGACACGTTGAATCCGTTTGACTCGCTGCTCCCATACTTAACGAATTGCGTTCGGTTCGACAGGTATGATTCGATCCAAGCAAGAAGATTGTCTGGCAGGTTGACAGATCTGAGTTTCAGAATCAATCGCTTGTGGTTAACTCTGTCAAACGCTTTACTGAAGTCCGTATAGAGAACGTCCACTTGCGCATCGGAATTTATGCCTCTCTTGGTAAATTCGGTGAGATTAGATGCAGTGGATCTGGACTTCATAAAGCCGTGTTGCTTTTTGGTGATTTTGTCCTGTACCAGGGACAAAAGTTTGACGTTCACCAAATGCTCAAAGAACTTCGCCACAGTTTTGAGCTTAGCAATGCAACGGTAGTTCTCTATTTTCGATCTTGCCCCCTTTTTGAAAATGGGCGTCACACTAGAGCGTTTCCATTTGTCAGGGAAATGGCCAGTTGACAAAGATTCGTTGAAAATCTCGGTGATTGGAGCCGCCAAATGACTCGCACAATTTTTTAGTATCAATGGATGCATACCATTGGGACCCGTACCTTTCTTGGTGTTCACAGCGTGTAGCTCTTCAAGCACAAAATTGATATTGAGCTGGAAATCCTCAGTTGTCGGTGCTCTTCTTTGAATTGACATATTGCCAAAATCTCGATGCATCATACTTGAGCGAGAATTTCATTTTGTCCACGTAATCGTTGTACAGTTTCGTGTTGAGTTTGATGAAGTGCCATTGTCTTAGATGAAGTGCCATTGTCTTAGATGAAGTGCCATCGTCTTGCAATGCATTCGTATCCATATAAAAACATTCCTTCATACAAATGCAGAGGGGCGAAACCGAACTGTCATCATCAATTACAACGCGGCTGTCAGAATAAAGTACAAATTAAATACACTCCAGACAGTCTTAAGTGCACCTTCGTAGAATGACTCGTTGAATTTGAACTACTATGTTTGAAAAAGACAACGTATTTTCGTGAACGTATATTATTCATGGAGTGAATAAAAATGATAAAATCAAGTGGAAAATGAATATTTGTGTAAAATTATGTTGTTTCTTTATTTCCTATTTAAATGCAATGAATGATTTGGATGACACATCCACATTATCAAATTTAGAAAAATGTTTCCAACATGAACATATTTATCTAAGTTTTCTTTAGATTTGCTGATGTTCAAATGTATTTTGAAATCAATTAATTCAATTTTCTCATTATTTACGTTCGCTTCCAAGGTTTCATGACTACTCGGTATTGTTCCACCGAGTGCAAAAATTTGTTCTACACATTGAACATGTCAGTAGATACTTAACCTCACTTTGTCAATCAAAAACAAGAAAAATGTTAGCAAAGAATTTCTGAGCAAAAAAAAGAAAGTTCATATTCTTTTTCGGTATTTTTTCAAACGTTTCTAGAATGTTATTAAAAATGGGTTTTCATATTAATACACTAGGTATATTTTTATAAATAATTGAAATATTTTTTAACCAGAATGCTTGAAATATGTACTCATGTACTTATGCATACTTTTAGCGCGTTCCGCAACGAATGACAACCGACTACGCGGTCCCCGTTGTAGTTTGACAGTTCGGTTTCATGGCTCTGTACAAATGTTCCATTTTTTCTTAGAATTTTCAACTGTATGAAGTCAATGCTCACATCTAGTGATAGCACAAACTCTGAGACTTTGGACAAGGTCAACACAAACTCCAAAATAATCTCAGTACATCAGAATCTACCGCTTAAGATGAAGTCGCCATACAAATTTTTCAAATTTGACAAAATTTCATTTTTAGTGAGTTAGTGCTCGGAAACAAGGGGTGCAAAAGGGCTTCAAATGTTGCATGCTACCAGCACTAACTCCAAATTTTACAAAACCAATCTCAGTACAACAAGATTCGTGGCCTGAGGTGGAGTCGCCGAACAAATTTTTCATTTTTTCCAAATTTCTGACTTTGGCGAGTTAGTGCTCGTGCCCAGTTGCAGCACGAACTCTACAAATTTGGCACAAACCAGCACTAACTCCCCAGATTCCGAATCCGGAATTAACTTTTCATTTTTCGAACTGGGGGGGGGGCAGAAAATATAAATCGAAGAAAAAACATACTCCACTCTCAATCTCACCCATAGATATGTAACGCTCTTTTGCTACGATAAGTCCAGTTCAGATCAGTGTTTCTTTTTGTTTATAAATACGCTGTTTTCATTCTCTGTGGATCGATGGTTTGGATTTGAAATGAATAAAAAATGTTTGAATTTTTTCTATTGAAGTATTAATCACTTTTACAGAATCAATTACGATACAGAGAATGTGATAAATGGAAGAAAATACATTAAATTTTCATGAAAAAATGTTTGAAATAACGTATGATATCATCTCAATATGGAATTGCCTGGAGTAATTTCTGTTTTTTTTTCGGTTGAATTGAGTTACGAGAATGAAACTATTGATTTTTAGCTACAAATTGCAACAAATTGAACACACTAATTTATGCGTTAAAATGATTCCACAATTAGAACAAACGATTCAAATAATATACGTATATACATAATACTGTTTCGTCCACCAGACAATGATGTAATCTTTTATGCGATCAGCATCTATTATTGTTCAATTTCCCAATCGCGATTCTGCCGTTCTGAAGTGATATGTTAACAATAAAATGCATAAATATGTTAGCAGTGAGATGGAGCATTTAAACTATACATTGATGAAAAGAAGGCACATTGTTCATATCGCATACCTGAATTATTTCCATCTGGAATGGAATAATAACTAATGACAATGCTCAAAACTAATTTTATATTATCACGACACTTCCAAGTTTTTTAGATTTCAAAATTGGGCGAAAGGTATGTACTAAATCACTTGTTGATATATAAATGAATCGATAAGAATTTCAATTAAAAAAAACTTTTAGTAACTATGGAAACAGATTTGTTATGGTTTTCACAAATGACAAATTAAAACTATATCGAACGAAGCACGCTTCTTAAGAGAGAATATTTTCAACCATATTCAAGAAATAAAGAATTAGTGCAGAAAAATGTTTGTCAAAAAGAACGATATCCATTCAGGTGAATTATATACGCGAATCATTTATTCGTTGATCAACGAACAACGGTACACGGACGCAATATCAGTGCTTTGTAAAATACCTGAATCAACGAATTGTCGTGCTGGATTGTCTCTGCTTGGTTACTGCTATTATCAGTGTCAAGAATATATTGAAGCGGCCAATTGCTATGAACAATTGTGCATTTTAGTGCCAAATGAAGCAGAATACCAATTTTTCTTTGCTTTATCTCTCTTTCAATCGGGTCTTTTTGAAGAAGCATTTAAAATAACAGCAACAATTGATACCCCCGATCTAAAGGAAAAAAATTTGCAATTGCAATGTGCTATTCGATATTTCAACGAAGAATACAACAGCACCCAAACCTTATTGGCCCAACGAAATCCGTATCATGAGTCTACGTTAAATGACGAAGGCTGTTTATTGTTTCAAGCCAACGTGTTTGATGAGGCACTCCAAAGATTTACAGCTGCTCTTCAAAATGGTGGCTTTAATCCTTTGATTGCATACAACGCGGCTATGTGCCATTATCGACGGAAGGAAAATGCCCAAGCTCTCAACTACATTGCAGAAATTGTTGAACGGGGAATTCGAAACTACCCAGAACTTGGGATCGGAGCACAATTCGAAAATGAAGGCGGCGCTCGAAGGTTTTCATTAATATTTGGCTGTCTATTTTGTTCTTTTAATAAAACAGTTTGATTTAAAATATTAATTAATTTTATAAATTTTAATCAAGTGTTGGAAATCCGCCTTCCCTCGCTGCATCTGGCTTAACACAGAGTTTGAACCTCAAGGCTGCTATTGAATATCAAGAAGGAAACATGGATGGTGCTCGGGAGGCCCTAATGTTCGTTTTAATAAATTTTTTTCCCTACATTTTTCATGTGTCGTTCTTCCGACAGGGATCTACCACCTCGTAGTGAGCCCGAATTGGATCCAGTGACTTTACACAATTTAGCGTTAACTGACACAACGGGAGGCATTGGTACAAGTTTAAGACGTTTGGCATTTTTACTTGAAATAGGTCCGCCAACTTGTCCAGCAGAAACATTTGCCAACGTCCTTCTATCATGTTGTAAACATGAAATGTACGACACAGCTGCCGATATACTAGCTGAACACGCCCATCTTACGTACAAATATCTGAGTACATTTTTGTATGATTTGCTTGATGCAATAATCACTGTTCAAACTTCTCGTGATGTATTTTTCATTTAGAAAACTAATGGTTGCGTATGATTAAATATATTGATAAATGTCTCTGTTTTAGGAAGCCGATCAAAAATTAGGAAAGTTAGCCACACGACTTACCACTAAATTACGTGCGTTAACTGCAAAGATTCAAGAAAGTCGCGCTTCTGGCGATGATGATGCTGTCAAAAAAACACTTCGTGACTATGAAGAAGAATTGGAAAACTTTTTACCCGTTGCTATGGCAAGAGCATGGCTATTTTGGTTAGATGACGATTTTGCAACAGCCGAACGAGAGTTCCGGTCAAGTGGTAACTATGCTATATAGCAATAAACTTTTCGAAAATACTACAACATAAAATTCACGCACTTAAGTTATCATTTATTTTTACTAAAAAAAATTTTAGGTGCTCAATTGTTTTTTTCTTCTTTATGTTTCAGCTGAATTTTGTTCAGAGTCTCCGTTGTGGCGGCTCCATGCGGCACATGTCCTTTTCATGCGGGGTGACAAGTACAAAGAAGCCGCAGCATTTTATGAACCAATTGTACGACAAAATTATGGAGACATTTTAAGCGTTTCAGCTGCAGTATTGGGTTTAGATCATACATTCAATCTTCCTCACCAAATGTAATGTAAACAAAAGACTTACACGATTGAATTTGGTATTTCAGGAAATCTGTGTGTTTCGTACATAATGACATACCAAAATGAAGAAGCTGAAGATCTAATGCGTAAAGTGGAACGGGCAGAAGAAATGAAGGGCAATGTAAATGGTCATTGTCTGCATTTGTGCATTGTGAATCTAGTCATCGGAACATTATATTGTGCAAATGGAAACTATGAATTTGGATTATCGCGAATAGCACACGCACTTGACAATGCTACAGCTGGTGCTCGATTATGTCCAGACACATGGTTTTATGTTAAAAGATGTGTCCTCGGGCTATTGACTCGATTGGCAAAACAAACATTGGTGTTGCCGTCCGTAGTAATTGAAGAAGTTTTGAATTTATTATATACATGTCAAATGTACGGCCTCGCTATACCGGCTGTTTTCGAAACCGCAACTGACGAAAACCCAGATGAACCACAAACAATTGGTTTGGAAGCAAGAAAACTGAATGCTTTACTGTTAAAGGCCATTGAATACGAATGAAATGCGGCGAACTGAATTTCGAATTGTATTTTGTCCCTTCTTGTGACATAAAATGTATGCAATAAATTCAATATTATATCATTTTGAAATATTACAACCGTTGTCTATATTTATTTTGTCAATGTGAACCATGCTTAAAGTACTAAAGTTTTTCTTTCAACCTGTTAGTAACTTAACGTTAAATAAAGAATGTCAAAATCTATCTATTCAATCACTCGTGAGCTTTGGAGCACATGTCTATTTAATACGATACGCAAAACACATTGGATTTATTATTATATTTTGTTTCATATTTTCATAGATGAGAGTACAGTATATTTGCAAATAAGTAAATCGCATTAATTGATTATGATGAAAATTGTTTGGACCATTGAGTTAGCATCATTTACCATCATGAGAAATGTTGGCTAACGCATGAAAATGACTAATCTTCTCGCTGATTTCATATTTGTTGAAGATGATCATTCAATAGTCTTTCAATTTATTGAGCCTGCATTGATTATTTTCATTTTAATTTCAGAAATAATGGCTGATGACAGTGACACTGAAGAGAAGCAACTGCAGTTTCATCAAATGGAATTGGACGATAGGATTTTAAAAGCGATTGCGTTACTAGGTTGGTTAACACCGACGCTTATTCAAGAGAAAGCAATTCCATTGCTGTTGGAAGGTAACGACGTTTTGGTACGAGCTAAAACTGGTTCAGGTAAGATAATTGAAATGAAATCTGTAGCATGGTTTAACCAAGTTTTCCTTATTCGACCAGGCAAGACAGCTGCATTTGCAATTCCAGTGGTTCAGAAAATTTTAAAAATGAAAAAAGAGGCTACAATTTCCGAACAAAAAATCACAACGATAGTTTTGGCACCCAGCAAGGAGCTATGTCAACAAATCAGGTCCTCCTTCGATGAACTGACAATAAAATGCCAAAGAGATGTTCGTTCCATCGATTTGGCATCAACAGTTAATCCGGGAACAGTGAAACATATGCTTGCGGAAAGACCGGATGTTATAATTGCAACGCCTGCCAAAATTTTGACTCAACTAAAATCGGGCATTGTTAAACTAGATGCTTTAGAAACAATAGTCATAGATGAAGCTGACTTGGTATTTTCTTTTGGTTTCGAAGATGATTTGAAAGAAGTGCTCAACTATTTGCCATCGATTTATCAAGCAATTTTGGCATCCGCTACGCTCAGTGATGATGTCACCACACTGAAAAGACTTGTCTTACACAATCCTGTCGTGTTGAAACTCGAGGAACCCGAATTGGCTCCAGTTTCGCAGTTGTCACATTATCGAATCTTAGCAGAAGAATGTGATAAAGCAGCCATTTTGTATTCTCTCCTTAAGCTAGAACTGATCCGCGGCAAAAGTATTGTATTCGTAAGTTTTCATTACATATTTATTCAATACATTCCAATATTTTCATGTTTTCCTTGTGATTTCCCCTCAGGTAAATACAGTCGATCGATGCTACAAGTAAGTTTCATTTAGTAATGTCATTTTGTTCCGCCGAAGATTGATCTGTTTATCCATGATGTTTATTATATGTTCGGACTATTGAGATGACGCTTTGCGTTAGCTTGAAAATAACCAATTTTGCTGATTTTGTTTGCACTTGCAATAAACAAAATCCAGTTCAGTTTACCAAAATTAGAAATGTGTTGTAACAATCTGTTTCTGTTTCCAGGTTAAAACTTTTTTTGGAACAATTTTCCATAAAGTCATGTATTTTAAACTCTGAACTTCCGGCCAAAGTGCGATGTCATGCCGTCACACAATTTAATCGCAATTTTTACGATATAATAATTGCATCCGATGAGCAGGCTTTGAATCAACCAAAAATTAAGCAGACAAAAGTTGGAAAAGTTGACAAAGAATCTGGTGTTGCTCGAGGTATTGATTTTCAACACGTATCAAATGTGATCAATTTTGATTTTCCATTGGACGTCAGCTCCTATGTGCATAGAGCAGGGCGAACAGCCAGGGGTAACAACACTGGGAGTGTACTATCATTCGCTGATATGTCAGAAAAACCACTTCTGGAAGCAGTGGAGGAACATCTCAAGGCTGGATATTCAAGCGAAACTGATGTAATAAAAAACTATCAATTCAAATTAGAAAAGGTTGATGCATTCCGATATCGAGCCAACGATGCGTGGCGTGCCATCACAAAAGTTGCTATTCGAGATGCTCGAGTCAAAGAAATCAAAAATGAGATGATCAATTGTGAAAAAATGAAAAGCTTCTTCGATAACAACCCGCGCGACTTGCAACTTTTGAGACATGACAAACAATTGGGTACCGTTAAAAAGCAAGCACACTTGGCAGATGTTCCAGATTATATTGTTCCACCGGAATTGAAGCGCCTCTCTCGGACTACTGCAAGCAGCAACAGTAACAAGCGGAAAAGATCGTATGCCAATAACAAATCAAAGTCAGCATTTCAGCTAAAACAAAATAATCCATTGTATGTTTCTAAAGTCAATAGCGCTAAGAAACATAGAAAATAGCAACACTTGATGTATTTTGTTATTCAATAAACGTACAGCGTACACCCTAATGTATGGTTTGTTCGTTTTAACTGAAATAATTTTGCAAAATGTGTCTAATATCGTCGATATCCATTAGAATGATGTGCGCTATTGATATTGCTGCATTCACACATGACTCTGGGGTCCTTTGCTAAAAATAAAAAATAAACGTATTTATTAGCTTGTATTCATGTCTAATTGTGAACGACAACCTGAAGCATTTTCCAAAAATGTATCATTTTGTTGCAAATGTTCCAAAACTCGATGAAATTACCCGAACCAGAATTTAATAGCGTATAACAATTTTGCACCTGAAAATCAATCAATCCATTTGATGAATTCGACCAAATGATTACTTTTTTGCATTACAATACGAGCCGCAAAGTAGAATAAAAGAATTTTTTGAACACAAGTTAGTATCATAACGAAGATTTTATCGAACACACTAAAGGATTTTATCTAAACACATTTATTTTGTTCTACTTCATGGAGATTCTATCAAATGTCAACCTTTCACAAAATAAAACTACTTGATTAAAACCATTTCGATTTAATTTTTTTTTTAATATTTTCATTTTCGGAAAATAAAATGAATTTGAATCATTGAATACAAAATTCGTGTTATCAAAGCCCCGAACCCATCCGAGCTGACGTGCTATAATTCCAAACCAATATGCAAACAACTTCATTCAAATGTCAGTGATAGATTTAATGTTTTGAAATAGTGTCAGTATTTAACATAAAAGATCGACGAAGGTAAGCACATGGATTATATTTCAACGGGAGATTCCATCGAAATGGATTGCAATATTAATGCAATTCTTCCAACCGTCTACGTGGAAATCCTTCGAAGACAATCAGCGTAAGTATCTTCATTCATACAAATCCATAACTTTGTTATCAATAACTTTGATTTTGCAGGAAGACAATTTCTGATGAGGAATTACACCGTATTGTGTTCGATTTTTTGAAACAACAAAAAAGCCATCAACCACTTGTAAAATGTGACACGGAATCTTCGATTTCCGAATTGGTCGAGGAAGTCACCATCAGTCAGCCAATTTTGTTACATGACGCTGAATTTGAAGATGTCAAATTTTTCACATACACTGTGAATAATTATAATGCGGAAATTGAAACAATTGAAACTGCGGACGGTGATAATGATGACATTCCCGCATCTCAACATTGGATTCTACCAAATCGAGAATTTCAAGGACAATGGGAATATTTACATTACGAAGACGATCTCAAAGAAAATCTCCTGCGATTTTCCAAGACTATCATGTTATTTGCCCTTAAGAATGTTGACATCAATGCAATCTCTTGTAATAAACTGGTACTGCTGCATGGGCCGCCAGGTAATCCCAGAATTAATATATTTTAACATGATCAAACCAAATTTATGAAATCACTAATATAAAAAAATCATCAAAACAGGTACTGGAAAAACCTCGCTTTGCAAATCGTTGGCTCAAAAAATATCAATTCATATGAATGACAGGTGAGACGATCAATCTCTATTGTTATCAAACCAAAAATATGGTAGCTGTCAATATAAGGATTTTTTTCTACACACACAGATTTCGGTACACGCATTTATTCGAAATTAACAGCCACAGTTTGTTTTCGAAATGGTTTTCGGAAGTATGTTATCAAAATCCATAAATATTTTTTTATTATACTCTTGATTTAGAATAATATGTTTCTTTTCATCCATAGAGCGGCAAATTGGTATTGAAAATGTTCACAACGATCAAAGATGTGGCAGAAGATCCATTGTCTCTGGTTGTAATTTTGATAGATGAAGTCGAATCGATTGCGTACGCTCGTGATTCCGTATCATCTCATGAGCCATCAGATTCCATTCGCGTAGTAAATTCTTTACTCACACAACTAGATCAGCTGCGCAGACAAACAAATGTCCTTGTGTTGACTACATCCAATCTATCATCTTCGATTGATATTGCCTTCGTTGATCGCGCTGATCTTAAGCAATACGTTGGTATAGTATCTTAATTAAATATCTTATCTGGTAACTTACCTTGTAGTATCTTGGTATAGTGGGATCCTTGAATATATTATTGTTAATCAAATTTATCTAATGGAAATTCATTCCCCCAGGGTACCCTACCCCAGTGGCTATATATCACATATTCAAAACTGGAATTGACGAATTAATTAAGGTAAATTCATTCGGAATCTATATACACACAGGGAAGAATGGTTCAGATTTTTGGTACAATGGATTTTTTTTCGTAGAAAAAAACCAAAATTAAGATATCTTAACCCTCTTTTGCATTACCTTGGTTGATTTTTGGCCATAGATAATTTAAAAAATATTCATAATCCTGGATGCCTCATGGTTTAGTCAGGAAATGCGATTGACATAAATCAGAGAACAATCAAATCCATTGTTTAAAAGTGTCAAAAATGTGTCTAATTTGGAGTTCGAATAATTTATTTTGTCAAATTTTTGTTTTTGCACACATTTTTGTTTATAACTTTACAATCACACTACATAGACAAATATTGCTAAGGACAAAAATAAAGAGAAAACATTGACGAATAAAAATTCCATTTAAAGCAATGTGATCCGATGTACGGTTTACATTGTACAGGCATTCAAACGTTGCCCGTCTAGAGGCGGTTGTATGCATTAGAGGGTTAAACAAAATTTATTTTCTTCCATACAAATTTTGTCTGAAAAATAAATTTCGTAGATATCTAATTTAAGTTTTTTTTTCTATGAAAAAAATCCATCGTACCAAAAATCTGAACCATTCTTCCCTGCATGTATACTGTATATATATATACATTATCTTAATTCTTGTTACAATTTATAAAAGGTTAAAATCGTGACTAATCCAAACGAAAACGATGATGAATGGAATTCTGAAGGTGCGATTCATTTACTAGACATATCTAAAAAATGCGAAGGGTTGAGTGGACGGTCGTTGCGAAAATTACCATTGCTAGCTCATGCTTGGTTCGTCCACAAAAACTCAGTTGACCTTCACACATTCCTGAATGCTTTGGACGATGCTGTCGATAAGCATTTGGCCGATACTCTTGCTATCGAAAAAAAGACATGAATTGTTTTCCATTTTGACTATGTGAATAAATAAGAAGATGATAAACAATGAACGATGATTTTTTCATTCAATATTTAAACAGTTTTAGTTTCAAATCATACAGATTTAAAGCACGACTTGAATTTTTTATTGGAAATGTTAAATAAGTAAATTTTGTCCTAAAAATTAAATTGGTTGAAAAATAGCCAACTGCCGGCTGCATACTGTCTGAAATATTGTTCACAAAGATAACTTACCTTGTAGTGACACTGTTCAGTATTCACCTTGTGTACAGTGTTGATCCAAAAATATTGTTTTTCTATATAAAGCGTTTTCATTTATTTATTTATCACGGAGGACGATAGTCCGACAAGTGACACTCTAACAACTGTGCATTTCAAGCCAAATATCAAAAATGCCAGTTTTTGCGTCACGAGTATATATACAGTAAATATGCTATTTTCTCAGGGCAATATTTGGGCCCCGGCATGTTAGGTACCGTTGGAAAGGTCTTGGCTCAAATAGTCGGAAACACCATATCCCCCATGCCTAAAGTGTGGCCCCATGCCTAGGCAAAAATATAGCGGTTGGAAAATTTCGATAAATTTTCAAATCTATACCCATATCTTACGAAGGGGGTACCCAGGGGGTGGTCTGAGGTGTCCAAGAGAAGCTCCTCCTCGCCACCTTTCCAACGCCGGTCCAAGTGCCCCGATCGGTACAAAAACGAAAAAGTTATGGGCATTGGCAGTTTGACCATGGTTTTTTATGAAAGTATTGATTTGGATGTGCGTGTCTCCATTTGTCCGTACCTTCTTCAGTTTCCGATGCGCATATGCCTTAGTTGTAGCTAGTGTCGGGGCACGTTGAAATCCGTCCTCAGATTGACATTTGCATTACAGGAGAGCTGGCTATGGCTTCACTAGCCTGCATGTATACGATTTTTTCAAGTATTTATTTCGCACACTAGATCAACTCAGACGCCCATCGGGCAAAGTCAGCTCGGTATCATTTGAGAAGACCTTCAAAAAGTTCCATACACACATGCCAATGTTTATGTGATATAAAAGAAAAAAGTCGATTTTTATGAAAAATCGACCCCCTTAAATTTCACACCAAACGCGATTTCTCAAAAATCAGCCCGACAATCTTTTACCAAAAACTGAGCGTATATAGCCGGCTACCATACCAACAAAGTGGCATATGCCACATATCCGGGAAAATTCGTATTTCGAAGTCTGGGCATAGGCGATTCATCAATGAACGGAATTTGTACGAAGAGTCGCATTCTACGATGAAATTGCTGCCAAAAATACGCATCTACTGGCTGAAAAAGGCTCACGAAAGACCATATCCGCTTAATTTTCGACGAGCAATCGATGTGGTGATAAAAGTGGTTACAATGCGATCTGAGGGCATTTCATGGTCGAAAAATAGGTCGGATTGAAGTGAATTTTTCAACTTGCTCTATTTTCACTGAAAATGATGTTTTTGTTCGGAAAACACGTGACCTCTGACGACATTTTGGTCTTAGAAAACTGCTATTTTTTCGTGAAAATAATGGGAGTCCACGAACACTTGAATATCCATTTCGTTGTCATTTTGGTCATAAATCGGCATTTGGCATCTGAATGTATTAAATTGAACTTTTGCTCGGGGGATACATAAAAAATGCACTTTCCAGAGCTTTGGTGGTTGGGAATTAATATGTTTCAATGAAGTAATGTGTCTAAAATTACTTCAAAACTCTTTTAATGGATATTTTGAAATTTAATCACATTATACAATGTCCAATAAGGGGAAAATGGGACTTTTTTAATGAAAGTGGAAATTTGCTATTTACAAAACTTGTGAAATGTGGATGCAAATGTTTTATCCGAAAAATTACAATTTCCCAATGATAAGACCTTAAAATAGACATATTTCTGGCAAAAGTGTATTTTTTCCGAGAATAATTGCCTTACAAAATTAGTGATATCAGATGAAAAACCTCTTGGCGAGGTTAAAATGGAGTGACGCTCCTGTGCGTGGATTTACCACTCAAAATGACTGATATCATTTTGAGTGACGCTTTGACGCTGTATTATCCCTGGGTACGAAGTTCAAAAGAGTTTTTCGCATTCGCTATTGTGAAAATTTATTTACAATAAGGAAAAATATCGCGTCACGACTTTCGAATTTAGTCTTCAAGTAAAACTTTCAAGCGTTTTGCCGTCCAAAAGTCGTGCCTTCAAATTTGTTTGGAAAATATTCAATTTCGAGTGGTCGGCAAAATGGTAAATTTGACTATTATTCACAATTTTTTGTCATGTGTCTAGTTCAATAACAAGAAATGCGACTTGACTCGTCGGAATACCATCAATAGTGTTCATTTGGCGTGCCATTAACATAGCAGCAATGACATTTGACAGTCACTGTCAAATTTCGGAGATATGGCACCGTCCCAAATGACCCGACGTCCCAAATGACCCGACATTACCTTAAATAAAAGAAGCTTCTAACAATTATTAATGGAATATATTTGATATGTTTAATGCCAGAATTTATTGAACAAATCCATAAATGAGTCGTAAATCATAAAAGTGATCGCTACATCGAGGCAGACACGACTTAATCGTGGCACAGTTCCTTTGTAGAATGCGCATGGGCCTTCATTTTTCCATATTTGCATGGCGCAATCGGCAGTATTTTTATATTTTGACGCTTCCAAACCTTAGGAGTAAATTTAAATTGTGATTATCATCGGTTCAGAATAATCAATATTGGAAACAATTGAGTATTTTACCTTGCATTCGTGTTTTTACTACATCGATTGGTGTGTTTCCAAATACTGAGGCTGCGCCGGCCACAGCACCAAACATTCCAACGACTAGCTTCGGAACAGGTTTCTTCGGATCATCACCTAGAAATGGGCAAAATCCGTTTTGTTCTGAATTTGTTACTAATTGGTTACAGATCGTGCTTCGGGATCACCTTTATACAAGTCCTTCAATGTCTCCATTACGTAAAACCGAATTGCTTGATTGGAACCTTGTTTCATTATCGTTGCTGTAACACCTTTGTAGACACCAAGAAAACCTACGAAAAGAGATTATTTCGAAAATGTTGTTTGTTTATGACTGGTTCTTATTTGACTCAGTAATACCTTCTTGGCGAATGATCGTTGATACACCGTGGAAGAATCCTTTATATTGTGGGTTTGCGCTGCGTTGATCGTTGATAAATTTAACTTTGACTGTTTCCATTGGAGTTACGGCGAGAATAGCCTGCATCAATTAATAATTAGAGTAACATTCAATAAAACATTGATGTCAAACATTTTAATTAAATGTTTCCAAACCTCAGCCACGCCCGCTCCTAAGCCAGCTAACAATTTCCCACCTGCAGACAATTGACCATTATGATCCTGCATGCGTTTCTTGAATGATTCGAATGCCCCAAAACTGTAGCAAAATGATATGGCAAATTATCGTTTTAACGTTGATATGGCAAATTATTCGATCGATTGGTTATTTACCGCACTGCCGACTTTGGAATGCTACCATATAAGAGCACCGACAGGCCGCGATAGAGGCCTAGAACCCCGTTCGATTTAACGGTTTTGCGAACACAATCGCCAATACCATTATACTTTTTACTACCACCTGGAGGAAAAACAATTTTCAGCTTTCATCATATAATTGAGGCATACATATATGGTCACGGCCATGGCTTAAAGTATTGTCTATCACTTGTGATTACGGAGTTATAAGTGTTCAAAGTTGTCAGTAACGTTACATAATTTTGGAAGTGATTTTCGAGGTTGCTTTATATTTTCAAAAAAATTAGCGAATCTAGCGATTTATTTTTCGGGTCATAACCAAGAATTTCACGATAAAGGATCAAAGAAACGATAGAAATGGTGATTACGCTGAAAAACATATTTTTGGTGGATCTACAGACGTTAAAGTAACGTTACACGAAACGTCAGTAACTTTACAGGTACAAACTTCGTGACAAAAAAAACAGGATGCGATAAGAAGTATGTGATTTCTGTCGACTGAATATTAAAATTTGAACATTTTTCTTTAAGAATATGTATTTAACCTACTGATTTTGTAAATTTTTGATAGAAATTTACGCCCTCGAAAAAGAATCCACAAAAAGTCGAAAAATGACAAAAAAAAATCGCAAATTTGACAATTTTGATAAGAAAAAATAATCCAAATTCCATGAAATTCTCAGAATATATTGAGTTTAGGAAATAATAGTTTGGTGCAAAATTTCATAGCAATCTTATAACTTTAAGACCATTTTTTCTTCACTTTTAACTTTTTTCCGTGGTTTCGTCTTACGTGGCCGTGCCCATATATATTGAACCATAATTTGAAATGGTTAAATTACCCTTTTCGTCTAACTGTAGCTGCGTCTTCACATACTCGGTGGGAAATGTGATACAAATTTCGATTCCGCCGGTAATGCCACCCGCAACAATACCTAGACAAATGTAAAACAATAACTTTTAGTCAAGAGAGAATCATTTCGTCCATATAAAAAAAAAATTCAAACAAAAATGAAAAAAATGATGTATGTGAGCATGTGTGTGTGAATTTGTCTATTCGGATTAAACATCACAATGATATTACAGCCAACATTTTAAAGTCTCAGAAAATTTAAATTAAATCTTGTGATTTTACAATTATTATAATTACGAGCTTAAATCTGCGGTAGAGGAAAAAAGCAGCTGAAGCCAAACAAACGCAAATGAAAGCAACAAACCTTTTAGACCAGAAGCGCCAGTCGCTGCGGCTGCAGCACCATTGTTCTCCATCCAAGGTCGCTGTGGAAATGGATTTCTCCTTGGTACCGGCAATAAGTGGTGTGATCGACTTGAGTCCATTATTAAATTCATATGAATCTTATTTCGTCAAAAAAATTAACTAGAAAGGTGAAAAAAAATGTTATACGAAATTTTATATAATAAATAATTGAAAAAACTTTCAAATATTTATTGTTATTTAGAAAAATCGTCTTGAAGATTTTGGAAAATGTTTTTCTACAATATGCTTCTATTTACGTTCAATTTTGGAATAAACTTGTGCCGTATACAGATTCAAGATTTCAATCTATTTTTTTCTATTTAATCTATTCTCGTTTTATTTGATTGAACATTTTACTTCTATTTCCTTTTGGAAATATTGAAGACTCTCGTCAAGACTATCAAGAGAAATAGTGAGAAATAAGTTGAACATAGTTGTAAAAACGAATAATATGATACGAGTGTAATGTATTGATTACAAGCTCCAAAGTTCACTTTCGTTATTCAGACTGAAACGTTAACCAATTCCATTGAATTAACCGGACGCGATTTTACATTGTTCAGATTGAAAACGAACAAAACAAAACAAAATAAATATTCTCACACATACACATTCACACGAGACATTGATATTCTCACTGACCAAATAAGTCGAAAAATGACTACTTATTGAGAGACTAATTAACTAAGTCGATTCTAAAAGTTGAAAACACAAAAATTTCATGTGAATAAATTAAATCTGGAAATGGAACGATTCATAAATTGAAAAAATATTTCCAGAAGAAATAAGTAGACCAAACGATGTCACAACTGAAGGGAACTGGTTTGGTTGAAAATACCCACTATTGCTTCAACAAAATATTTCGACTTTTATTGACTGATGTATCTTTTCACTTTCAAACTTAGTAGTAACACCGGATATTGACATCAATTTTTGCCGAAAAAATTCTTATAAAATCCTTTAAACTTTTGATTTTGTGATTTAAATGACTTGAGTTCAAATTGTTGTTGAATCACAAAATTTCAACTGTCCAAAATGTTGCCACAAATTGTTCAAATAAACACTGTGTGTTACATAAAAGAAAGGTGAGTGTTTAATACGGAATAAAAT